ACCAATGCATCACCTCAGTTGTGTTCGATAGAAAGGAATCTCTCCGGAGTTTGAAGCCAGTCACTGCAATGCGGAACGGCCAGGACCAGGCGCTTCTAACCACTACACCAACTCAACCAATTTTTGATAGGTTAATTAACAGATTGAAACAATTAAAATATAGGAATAAAATTTATTTTGACAACCATAATTATATAGGATAAAATTATTCATTAGCTTTTAAAATTTTGAAAACCTTGCCTTCACAACTTGAGAACTTGGCTTGAACAATATTTGACATAAATAGTAATACAAAAACATAACTGAGTGTACCATTTCTGTTTTTAAAGTAGGGGAACGAAATTGCAAAAAATTAAATGAAGGAACGAACGAACATGCAAACAAATGAACGAACGAACGAACAAATAAAATAAAAACAGAAATGAATTTACTTGGTCTGGGCGCGGGACATTTTAGCGTTATTTGCCTTGGCAGTGGTGTTGTTATCGGCCTCGTCATCGTCATCGTCCTCCTCGGCCGAGCCGATGCCTGTGATCGACTCGATGACTTTCGACAAGCGTTTGTCATGTCCACCCTTGTTATGGCCATTTCTATTTCTATATCTATTATTGTTGTTAGTTTTATTGTCGTTATTATTATTATTATTATTGGGGATTCTACTCATCTTTGTTGTATTGTTATCATTGGAGATGACTTTAACGTCCTCGCGATCGATCACATTATTATTATTATTGTTGTTGTTATTATTATTATTTCCTTCAACATTTTTATTATTACCAAAATTGATTTCACCACAACCATCCTTGCAAGTGATATTTCCGCCACCATATTTTTCATCATCATGACTCGCCCTATTATCGCTTGTTCTACCGTTGATCTTACCACCACCATCATCATCTTCTTCTTCTTCATTATCGCCATGGTAATTTATATCTCCATCATCGACGGCAGTGATTTGTCGTTTGTAGCTTTCAGTGTCCACCTGGTTGAGGCCACCCCCGCCTGCTGGTCGTCGCCATTTTTTTTTATTCTTCCTATAACTTGGCAGCTTGGATGTGGAAGGCTCACAACATGTCAGGGAGTTTGTAAGCAAGCCAGTTAGGAGGTCACTACTGATGAAACCACTTTTCTGAGGGATTGAAAGGGTTGAGTCAACTAGGGCGGAAGTGCCGGGAGATCCATTTTTGTTGGAAGTTGATAGAGCCGATCCAGCAAGGAAGGCAGAACTAGGTATTTCGAGATTTGTAGGGGTAAGAAGGGAGGATGCAGAAGGGGAGGTAGTTGTTGAAGCAAGTTTGTTGAAGAGTAATGGAGGCGATCCAGTCGTTGATCTTAACTTTTTAGAGATCGATCGGTGCGAGCCGTCAAGAGAATTGTTTTTTGATCTTAATTTTTGGCTGATTGGTGGGCGCACACCAGACAGGGGAGTTTCAAAGGGGAAGCTGTTTTTTCGGAAGGTTATCACAGGCAAGCCACCGACCGGGGTAGAGGTGGCCGTTGAAGTTTTAGAAGAAAATCTATTTTTAATTTTTTTGCTTTCCATATTACTGAAGCTCTCGTTAGTTTCTTGGCTCTCATTATCATTCCCTCCGCACTTCTTGAAAATTTTAAATAAGTGAAATGTTAAGACCTTTTTAATACAGTTGTAATGCAACAATTGAAATACATCACATAATACAATATTTAATTAATTTTTTAATATAATATTTGATTCAGTCGTTATAGAACACAATTTTATTACCAGTTTGTTTGTTTGTTTGTTTGTTTATGTTATTAGCCGTTTGTTGTTGTTTGAATTGTTATCATTCTACATTTGTTTATTTTGATGTCAGTCTCATTACTTTTGAACAATTTGAGTGGTGAAATAGTTTTTAGAATCTCATTTGATTAGGGAAGCCATCGAACAACAGCAGCAATCAGACAATCGAACAACAGCAACAACGGCGTTGGAAGCTTTTTAAATGTCTAAATATCATTATAAAGTCGTTAAAAAAACAAAGCTTCCATGCATAAATACAATACAGCAACAAGAAAAAGGACAACAACTACTAATACTACCACCACAACAGTAACAACACTAAACCAAAATAAACACAGAAATACTAAACACATACAAAAACAATCACAGACATAAGAAAACCAAACGCAAGACTGACAAACAAGCAAATGCAAAACAAAAACAAAGCCACAAAAAAAATTAGGACAGACCCTCAGAACCCTGTAACAAGCCACAGCGTTGATGAGCAACACCACACTCATCGGTATGATACGCACGTATATGTACCACAACAAATACCCATATACATCTGGAGCATTTTGGCCTATGTATTTCACAAAGAGGCTGCCTCTGTTGCTTTCATTGTTCAGTAAGTCACCGACCACCTGATTGGTGTCTACTGAGACTGTGCGGTGTCGGGCAGTTAAGGTGGGGTTCGTTTTGTTGGTTGCAGTGTTTATATTTTCAATTGATTATTTAATCATTGGGTTCGTTAATTGTTTAACTAATCTTTTATTAGTTGACCAACCAGCAAACTATTCAACCAGCCAGTCAACCAATAGAAAAATCAATCAACCAACCAACTAATCAGCCAATGATTTTTTCAAACAAAAAAAATCAATCATTCAACCTACCAACCAACCAACCGACCGACCGACAAACCAATCAACCAAACCAACCGACTAACCAACCGTCAAACCAACCAACCAACCGACTAACCAACCAACCAACCAACCAACCGACTAACCAACCGACCAACCAACCGACTAACCAACCGACCAACTAACCGACCAACCAACCGACCAACCAACCAACTAACCAACCGACCAACCAACCAACCAACCGACCGACCAACCGACAGACCAACTAACCAACCGACTAACCCACCGACCAACCGACCGACCGACTAACCAACCAAACGGCCAACAAACCAACCAACCGACCAGCAAATCAATCAGCCAACCAACCAACCAGCAAATATATTCACGGGCATAGTCAGTACAGACTTCAAACATATGATACTGGACAGGACGAGGCAGCCCCCAAACGCCATGCCACATCTAGTGTACGATATAAACGGGAAGATGGTACTCTTATCTTCATATATCGAAATGCACTGAAACACGGAGATAACCAGTGTTAGCAAGCAAGTGTTCGTCAAGATGAAAACGTTGGAGTGGAACGTTGTTGAGAGTAAGTTCATCATGCCGCCTGCGAATGATGAGGTAGTGTTGTTGATGATGATGCTGTTGGTAAATGATTTGTTAATGATGATAATGCGGCGTGATGGCTCAATGGTAAAGGCACCTGGTCTTGCTGTTGCAATGACTGGGTTCAAATACAAAGAGATCCCTGTCTACCATATGCATTGTGTATGATGCGTGGTTTGCACGGACGTGTGTTTGTCGTTGAAACCTCTGAAGCAAACGCAAAAGAGAGAGAGAAACCTTTAGCCTTTTAACCTTTAATGTTATTGTTGTTGGTGGTGATGATGAAGTTAGTAATGATGTTGTTCCTGACGATGATGTTGATGATGATAGTGGTGATGAATATAATGATGAATATAGTGATGATGATGATGACAATGATGATAGCGGTAATGAATATAATGATGAATATAGTGATGATGATGAGATCTTGTAAAATCAAAAATCTGTGGCTAACAAAGGGTATTCTTAAATCATTCAAAGTTAAATCTAAATTATATAAATTGTATATTAAAAATCCTTCTGAACATAATTTTAAAATTTATAAAAAATATCGAAATAAATTAGTTATTATTTCTGAAAAAAAAATACTATAACGATATATTTGAAAAAAATAAAAACAATACAAAAGTAATTTGGCAATATATTAATAAATTAATTAGATCCCGACCTAATAATCCTATCTGTGAAATAGATGTAGATGGTTTGATAATAGCAGGGCTTCGAACCGTAATTTTTTTCGTTCCGGTTTTCGGTTTCGGTTCGACTAACAAAATATATTTCGGTTCAGTTTCGGTTTTCGTTCCAGATAAAATTTCGGTTCGGTTCCGGTTATCGGTTCAGTTCCGGGAAACGTTTTGCCCATCAAAGTTATTAAATTTTGTAAATGGTCATCACAATCCTACTGGCGCAAATTTGTAAAGCAAAGTAAAGAACACTTATAAAATGATATAAAATTATTGATAAGAAGCCAAATTAATTTTCAATTTTAATAAAAAATTTTAAATTAAAAATTCCGTAACAAATAATTCTGAATGCAATAATCACGAAACTTAGCGAAAAAATTAATTATCTTTCAGACAAGAAATGAAAAGTGAATTTCTTTGACATTACGTGGTGGAACGCGCTAATAAATTTGCGGGCAAATATATTTAATTAATTATATTTAATTGCGTTTTTGTAAATGTTGCCGCTATCGGATATTCTAGTTATTGACATATCATTGTTAATTAAATAAATAGAAGATTACAAATGATCAAAGATATTATACAAACATTGAAAAATAACAAAGACTTTTGAAAAATTATTTATAGAAGTGCTCGTTATAAAAAATATATTAACGGCTTCGAACCGGAACGTTATTTTTTTTGTTCCGGTTTTCGGTTTCGGTTCGGCAAGCAAAAACAATTTCGGTTCAGTTCCGAGTTTCGTTCCGGCTAAAATATCGGTTTTTTCCGGTTTTCGGTTTCGGTTCTGTTCCGGTTCAAAGCCCTGGATAATAGATAACCGAAGAATATATGTGAAGCTTTCAATAATTATTTTACCTCTATTATTAAACACAATGATGGTTCTCAAAGTAATATTTTTTTGGGCAATATTTCCTCAAATTTTACTGTAAACTCCTTTTATTTGGATTTAGTTAATAATTATGAAATTTTCGGACATGTCAATGATTTGAAGTGTTCTCATTCATCAAGCCATGATGGTGTTTTTTCTTTTTTCATCAAAAAAACAATATATAACATTATTGATCCACTTAGTCACATTATTAATCAATCATTTGCCACCAGTATGTTTCCTGATCTCTTTAAGATTGCTAAAGTTATTCCCTTACATAAAAATGGTCCCACTAATCTGCTGTCCAATTATCGACCAATTTCAATTCTACCATCTTTGTCAAAAATCTTTAAAAAAATCATGTCAAATCGTTTAAATAATTATTTGAAACATCAAATTTTTCAATGACTCTCAATATGGATTTAGAAAAGGTAGGTCTACTGAGTTGGCGTTGTTAGATCTTGTTGATAGAATTCTTAGTAAAATGGAAGATAAGTCAATAACTATTGGGTTATTTTTAGATCTATCTAAAGCGTTTGATTCTATAAATCATGCGTTATTGTTGAAGAAATTAGATTCTCTTGGTATTCGTGGAGTACAACACAGATAGTTTGAAAGTTATCTATCAAATCGTAAACAACATGTAACGTAATCATCGGTCATCGAATGTTTTGATTAAATTTGGTGTCCCGCAAGGCTCAGTTTTGGGGCCTTTGTTATTTTTAATTTTTGTAAATGATTTATACGCTGTCGGTAAATCACTTGAAAGTATATTGTTTGCTGATGATACCACTGTTTTATGTTCTGGCAAAGACATTAATACTGTGGTCAATACATTTAACACTGAAATGGAAAAAATATGCAGTTGGTTTAAATCAAATAACTTAAATATAAATTATAATAAAACAAACTATATGATTTTTGGTTCTAAGATTGTTACTAATAATCTAGGGATTTCTATTAAAATTGATAATAACAGTATCGAAAGAGTGTTAACAAATAAATTTTTAGGTTTTGTAATTACAGACAATTTGTCAGGGTTAAATCATATAATGCATATATCTAGTAAAATTTCTAAAATTACTGGTATCATTCGTAAATTGAGGTTCAAGCTTAGTTTTGATGTCACTAAAAAATTATATTACAGTTTAATTTATCCGTATTTAATATATGGTGTAATTTTATAGGGTAATAGTTGTACGACCCATCTTAATTCTTTGAGATTGGCCTATAATAGTTTAGTTAGATGTCTTTTTTTCTTGAAAAAGTATGACCATGTCTCAAGTTTTTACCAAGAAGCTAATCTATTATCAATTAAACAAATATATAATTTTGGTCTGTTAAAATTTATGTTTAAATTATATAAAAATTTATTGCCTCCTAATTTGTCCATTCATTTTAAAGCTCCTGATAAAAAGTTACGTGTTTTAAGACAAATGAATGATTATGTTCAACCTTACCCTAGATTAGTAACTTATAAATTATCTGTTTTCTTCTCCGGGGTTTCACTTTGGAATGGATTATCTTCAGAGTTCAAATTATTAAATAGTATTTCTGATTTTTCTAATAAAATATTATTATATGTCTCCAAATAATCTTTGTTATTTCAAATTTAATATGGTTGAACATTTTTGAGTTAATTGCTGTTGGTTTTTGAATGTATGTCTTGAATGTATGTTGATATTTATTCTTTGACTTAGTTTGAATTCAATTTGTTGTTTATTCATGCAAAATCATATGATTGAACGTTTTAATTTTTAATTTTATTGTTGTTATTTTTTTGATGCATGTCATGAATGTATGTTAGTACTTATTTACTGGCCG